GGCCCCGTCAGCTAATTAAATAAAAGCACAGTGCAGGTGGTAAGTTGGAGCACCTTGGGGGCAGTCCAGGAGGGAGGGTCCCAGAAGAAACACTAGGGGGCTGGGCCCCATGTTAGCTACAGGCCAGCTAATGGGTCACAAGCTCTGCAGGGAAGGCCCCCCCCTTCCCTCAGTCCTTTCTTCACCCCCACGTGATTTGTACATGTTTCTCTGCAGCTCTGGTTTTTGTGAGCTTGTTTTCTAGAATTTTCATTGCTTCTGGGGCCTTCCCTTTCTTCAGGATATGTCGCAGAAAGATCTATTTTAAAAATGTACCCAATGCGGAGCAGTATGAAAATGACCCCTTCGGATGAACACCTCCTTTGCCTTTTCTGCTTGGGCCTCAGAGAGGGGCTCACACAAGAATGTTAGGCTATAAAGAGATTAACTGGTGCTAATTGTCCAATCCACAGCTGCTTGTATGTGAGATTTCAACTTTCCTGAAAACAACCTATCCTTCCAGAAAGAATGCATTTAGCAGAAGCAGCCTATAAATGCTGTCGCCTCACCTGCTGAAGGGCTCAGGTGACATGTCCTGTTGCCAAGAGTGGTTGCACATAAAAAGAAAAGGGAGCAGTACAATTTACAACATGAATTTCATTCCAAGTTCTACACTGTACACAGCTTATGTGAAGTAACCTGCCAAGAGGAACCCCCTGTTAAACCAGGTCTGGTATAATAAGAGCTGGATGGTTCTCAGGTATCCACGGTGCTTATTTTTAAATACCAAATGGGAGAGAAGTTCTGCTTGCATTTCAGAAACCAACGAATTCTTTTGAATGTTCGAGTTGTATGTCATGTATGCAAATTCATGTCTGAATTTTCTGTTTTTGCATTTTTAAAATCTGAACTGAAAACCTACTTTCCTATGGGGTCATATTTCCAGATCTGTGGAATTGGATTGGTCAGAGTTGCATTGTACACAAAAGGAGGCAATTTGCAGTTGAGGTTGGCCATAAAAAGCCCTAGCAAAATCAAAATAAATTAAACTCATTTATGATTGCCAATTTTATTTTCAAAGTGCTTTTCTTAACACCTACATATGGAGGAGGATTTATACTACCCAGCGAATCCAACATCCTTCACTAGGAGTCTCAGAGCAGCTTACAAACTCCTTTCCCTTCCCCTCCCCACAACAGTCACCCCATGAAGTAGGTGGGGCTGAGAGAGCTCTTTCCAGAACTGTCCTTAGAAGAACAGCTCTGACAGCCCAAGGTCATCCAGCAGCTGCGAGTGGAGGAGTGGGGAATCAAACCTGGTTCTCCCGGATTAGAGTCCGTGCACTTAACCACTACACCAAACATATTCAGCAGTGACATATTCAGCATGCAGATGCAGTGATGGGAAAAGCTTCATCTGCTGAATCTTGTCATGCAGTTGTTAAAAGCACTGGAGCCTTTTCAAGATAAATAGATAGCAACCCAAGCCACTTGCCTGAGAATCTTCATCTTGGCCCTATATAAAGAGTTACGTATGAACCCACGGCAAAGCTCCCTTTGGCCCAAAATTTTTTCCTGCATCCTCCACAAGGATGATTAAGAACTGTTTCCATCCTGCCAAATGCCACATTTCCCAAGTTAAGAAATGTTAGTAAGATTTTTAGTAAGTGCTGTTCAGAACGGCATTTGTATGCAATTAAAATCTGCACTTTGTTTATTGATGTTTTGCCAAGTTCATGCAGAGGTATTAGGTAATTTGCTAGCTGTCTTGGACCCTCATAGGAAGGAAAAGGCAGGCCAACAGTATTTTTTAAAAAATAAAGTCCTTTCCAATACCTGATGCTATTTTTGTGCTTTAGGCTATGGGGAAAGAAACAAACCCCAAACTGTAACCTCCTCTAGCACTCACATCCTTAAAGGTCTTGATTCACTGATCCACAATGCGCTTAAATTGAAGTGCACCATGCATAGCACCCCCTGGACAATATTATCCGGGGGTCCAGGACTAAACATCTCCTGGTGGTTCTAGGTCCCAAAGAGGCCAGACTAGCAGCGACTAAGTCTAGGGCTTTTTCGGTGGCGGCTCCTACCTGGTGGAATGAGCTCCCAGAGGAGATCCGGGCCCTGCGGGACCTTGCACAGTTCCGCAGGGCCTGCAAGACGGAGCTCTTCCACCAGGCGTTTGAGTAGGAGCCGCCATGACTGTTACCATCTGTCTACGACTATTACTATCTGTCCTAGCCCTTATTACCAACTTGCCGTGAGCGCAAAAATGGTGGTACTGCGTGGAGCTGTGGCCACTAAGGATACCATCCTGATGATGTCATCTGTTCCCTTGTTAGTTGTTGTGGAGAGCAAATGTTGTATTGAATGTTTTTAAAATGCAGTTTTAATGTTTAATGTATTGGGCATTGGCCCCATCTGTACGCCACCCTGAGCCCGTTCGCGGGGAGGGCGGGTTATAAATTTAAATAAATAAATAAAATAAATAAATAATGTATTTGCATCACCCAGTTGCTTCATCGACAATTGGCACACATTTCACTGATGACCAGAGGACTGTTTAAGGCAACCCAGATGTCTGTAAACTGGGATGAAGAAAGTGCAGTATTTTGACGGGGATTTTGAGACAGTGTCTTCCAGTGATTAGAGGCGATCAATGATCTTGCATGCCCAGGCTCATCCTCACTTAGGGGCCCTCCCATCCTTTGTTGCCAGCCATCACTGGGTTGGAGCTTTACCAGCCTTCTTTGAGACTTTCTCATTGAACACTGAAATACACATTCTCCAAGAAGCACAAACTTACATGCCTTCACATAAGTCAATCTGTTTCATCAGTTCTCCACTTGCACAATAATACTCTCATTACCTGCTTCACATGTGATGACTGACTTTAGGAATACAAAAAGTATTCTGCTTATCTGCATATACAGAATTCATGATGCATGCAATCTGCAATTTATATAATATCCAGTGCTTCATTTATTAAGACGGGGTTTACAGTTCCTGATATCTTCATTTGTACTCAGAACACACAGGCAGGGAATACCAAAACCACCTCCATGAAACAGTCACTACATTTGAGCAGTAGTAGTCTTGGCACCGCACACATTTTATTCATAGATGCAGATTCTGAGGTAGGGGAGGCTCTGAAAATGTTGCTACTAATAGCAAAATGGCCATCCTTCCAAGATGAATCCCAGAGATACTTATACAGCAGGAAGGCTACCAATGAAAGATCAGATGCACAAGCTCATCTACCCATGCAATGCAAAGGCTTGTCCGCACACTCTGGTCAATCTAGTCTTGGAGGGGTGGGGGTGTCCACACAGTAATATTTGAGTGGCAAAATGTCACTCTGTTTTTGGTGCTTACAGAGCAGATACCATCCACTATTCTCAAAAGCTGTTTGCCTTGTTACCAGGGTATATGTGCTTGTGAGAATGAGTTTCAAGCCTCCCCAATAAATTAGAGACTAGGTTTCAACAACCATTCAGAAATTGCAAGAGAGACGGGAGGAGCAAATCCCATCTCCTGGCCGCCAGTGCCTCTTCCACTACCGAGGAGTACAGTCCTCTCCAGCCAGCGTTATTCTTGAGCTGCCCTCTGCTCCAACTGTGCTTTTGTCACAATGGCAACAGCGGTGGCGGCAGCAGCAGTGCAGTAGCAAGCTGACAAGTGTGATAAAATGATCTTCCTTAACTAAACTCGTAAAGCAATGGGCAATAAAACTCAATCTTCTGTAAAATCCAATTAAGTCATTATCTGACTGATTGTATCTTTAATTGAAAACAGAAGTGACAGTAAATTTCTGTGATATATCAGGATCAATCGATACCGCTATACGATTCAGCCCCGAGAAGTGATTTATAATGTCAAACCCATATAGGTAACTCCACATTATTCTCTCTAAAACCACTGGTGGATGAAATTAAGAGTAAGTGCATTTAATAAAAAACAAGATGGTCAGGTTATTGATTACAACAGATGGGGGTGAAATCAAATAGATGTTTTCAAAGCACAGAGTGAAGAAAATACAAGTAATTTCTTTCCCCCCCCTGTTTAATACAGCTCACCAACTATACACACAAGAAAATTTGGTCATCAATAACATTTTTATTTCAGGTACTGCTGCAACTACAGTGAACAATGAATATGTTTTTTAAAGACTAGTTTCATTTCAGGTTGGCTTCTGTAACCCAAGGAAAGTACACGCTAAGCAATTTTTAATACAATGCTGCAAATCCATAGTAACCTTTTAAGAAGATACCGTTCATAGGAAGCTAGGATTGTAGCCTAATGCAAATAGGTTAACTCATAAAATGCAAAATTATGTTAATTTTATGCTGCTGAGAGAAAACATGCCTGTTCAGAGACTGGCATCTTCCACAGAAATAAGCAACCACAAAGGTAACTTAATCACAGGGTTTTTTTCTCCTTTAAAAGCTATTGTTCTTGGACATATTTTCACCTCTGGAGTCTGTAAACCCTGGAAGAACTTTACTTCTTCTGAGGATCCTTTGCTGTTCTGTAGCATCTTAAAAGTTTTAAGTGAAAACATTTACTTTTGCTGCAAAGAATTTATGAACCTTTTATGCCAGTTCCTAAAATACCCATCGCATCCAAAACTGTATTTATCTGGCTTCTGAACACTGTTAAGGAATTAACTAAACCCCTTTGCACTATAGAAATCTAATATACACAAATTTAAGTATCTTAGCAGTTCATCTAACTGTGATTGCATGTTATTGGCAAAATATCCTGTTTTTATAACTACAATTATATCCCGTAATCTTTGTTTAGTGTCCCTTGAATGGACAGCACAGAAACGGCCACAGCAATCTGCATGGCTTTGGCCCCTCAACTAGTGTAGCAATTCAGTGTTCTGCACCCACCACACGCATAAAGGGGATAAATCAAACATTTCTTTTCCAACAGTTACTTCGGCATCAATCATCACAAAACAGACAAACACAACAAGAAGGCACTTCTCCAAGGAATCCAGGATTCGCTCAGCATCGCTTATTCGCCATCTTCCAGAACAGCATTAACAGTGAATGTGCCAGAATCCGAGGTTGACTCGCACTCCAGGACAGCTTTGGTGCTCTCATTGTTGATGGGAGAGCTGCTGGAAAGTGAAACCAAGCCAGAATCCTGACTACTGGGTGGTGAAAATACTGAGGAAGCAATGGAGAGGGGGGGGGGAGAGAGAAGAAGAAAAAAACCATGTTGAAAGAGGGCGAATGAGACAGCACCACAAACACACACAAAACCACAGCAAAATCAGGTGACAGGTGAATCATCCCCACCCCTGATGTCTCTTTCCCACTGCATGTGAAAGTTGCTGCTGTTGGGGAAGGGATGCATCCCTCCATTTTTGGTATTTTGAGTTGCACAATCCAGAGAACTGGGAGTATTTTCCCCTTCAGTGCCCACAGATTCACACCCTTGTTTCCTTCTACCAGGACATCCCTTTCCCAATTCCTACTGAATCACTGCTGATCCATGGGGGTGTTCTGTGACTGCTGCTTGTTCTTGGAACTTGGGAACAAGGACACTTAATGAAAACCGGATCAGAAATGGTTTTCTCTCTGGCTCCAACTTGGTGGAACTCCCTGCCTACTAACATCAGGGATTTGTTACAATTCTGCAGGGCCTGCAAGGCAGAGATATGCCACCAAACATATGGTTGAGGACAGCAACGGGTTTTTAATGGTTCTTAGCAGTTTTAATATCTAGCTGGCTTTTAACTGCTTTTCACGCCCTTTCCCCCATGCTGATGTAAATTGAGGGGGTCAGGAATTTATATTATGGCACCATGCAGATGTTTAGTTTTACTGATTGGGATTTTAGACTGTGTATTGTATTTATATGTATTTTATGAATTTTGTTGTGAACCTCCCTGAGCTCGCATGTGGGGAGGGTGGCATAGAAGCCTAATTAAATAAATAAATAATAAACAGTGATTTCTCCTGTAACCCCGGAGAGCAAAGTAAAAAAAGCTCTGGACAGCACCTGTGGAATTCCTAAAGCAGTTGGGGCAATCTTTATAAGTCAGTCTGTAAACCAAGCTTCCAACTTGTTCAGTGACAAGAGCCTTCAGCAAAGCATTCAAGAAGCCTTCATGTAGTCATTGAAGTGAGTCCATATTGAGAGCTGGCTCTTGAATTGGCTGCAAAGCTGCATTTGAGTAGCGCTCAGATATCCTTGCGAGCCAATGTTGATGTAGTGGTTAAGAGTGGCAGGACTCTAATCTGGAGAATCAGGTTTGATTCCCCACTCCTCCGCATGAAGCCAGCTGAGTGACCTTGGGTCAGTCACAGTTCTCTCAGAGCTCTCTCAGCCCCACCACCTACCTCACAGGGTGTCTGTTGTGGGGAGAGGAAGGGAACTGGGAAGGCGATTGTAAGCCGCTCTGAGGCTCCTTCAGGTAGGGATAAGTGGGGTATAAAAACCAACTCTTCTTCTTCTTCCCAGCATCAACACAGTTAATGACGTGCCTTAAAATGGCAGAACATATGGCAGAACAAGGAATTGTTAAGAGTTCAATCCTATGGGTTGCCCCCATCATTTTCTGGCAAGGGTCCTGTACCTTTAACAGCTATACAGCAAGCAGAAATTCAGAAAAGTGAAGCCTTTTCTCCGTGATGGAAGAGCTTCCCCAGCCCAATTTCAGCTTATTGGGTAGCTGTTAAAAGTGCAGGAGCCTTGCCATGAAAAAAATGTGGTAAGTGATGGCCGTATGTACTGGCTGTTGTCAGAAAACCACTTGGCAAGAGTCCTCAAACTCGATTGCCACATTACCAGTGACAACTGGGCCCCCCCATCATCATCACTTGTTTTCTGGGACACCTAGCACAAAGAGCCCTTCCTACACTGCAGAGTACTTGAAGCAGCAGCCAGGTCTTCCACTGGGCTGATGCACCCTTGTCATCGCTGCAAAAACTTGTGAGAAGAAAAGGGTCTCTTTCATTCTGTGCTGCGCTTTGGAAAAATCAGCAGTGATGATCTGCGCTGCTCTACTCCTGACAAAAGGCTCAAGAGAGGAAAGGAACTTGTCAGTGACAACCGCAGGCAACAGTTGACTACTAAGCCAAATCAATGGATCCTTGCTGATCCCACATAATTAAGGCAATGAACATGAATTTCTGCGTGGATTCATGTCCTGCCCTAGTGTGAGGGGGACCCAAGTGATGAAGGTCCATCATACATACAGAGGACGTTTTCACATGTCCCATGGAAACATCTGAGTTAATCTCAGGGCAGCAGTTTTGTACATACAACCACATTGCCAAGTTAACGTAGGTAGCAGGTCCAAATCATTGGTGCTGGGGGAAGAGCACGTTAACTAAAACAAGACAGGAGGAAAGAATCCCGTCTCCACAAAAATAAAGCAGAACCTCAAAATGGAAGTATTAAAGAATCTAAAAACAAATATACTTCAAGAAATATTTGCAACATTTCCTTCTGATATAGATACAAAAACAAAGCAAAAGGGTCTCTGACATTGCACACGTTTGATGAGTCAAGATCCACCCACAGCACTCCCTTCCTGCCTAGCCTGGATGTAATTAAGGGGAAGCTGCAGTGGTAATTTCTCTCCTCATTAACTTCCTGATTGGTTTGAGGCTCAGAATTCCACCGAGCTGCCGTTTGTCACCAAATTCAAATGGCCAATCGTTAAGACTAATGTTTGTGTAACTAACTGCCAGCATCTGCCATGGCTTCTTGTACAACAATAATAGTGAAAGGGTAACATTCATGCTCCTCTGTTAATTCAGCATGTATTCATCAATAAGGAAATCTATGATGTAATTAGCAAAATGCATCGGTAGACAAGTGCTAGAGTCATTTGTAGAAAACTAAATCACAGGAGAAGTTGCAGGAGTCCTTAATATGTTACCCATAGTACTTGCTCTATTTTCAGGGGTTTATAGTTTAGCAGAGAGTAGTGCCAGGCTAAGATCTTTTTGATACGGAGTAGTTCAACTCCCCTTGACTTCATTCATTTAAAGCAGCTGGATTTCACCCAATGTTTTCAAGCTATGGTGGATCTAATACAATCACTTACACACAAGGGGTGGTGTTAATGTCCTGAACTCCATCATTAAACCATTAGGTGTTAAAATGAGACTGATGCTGACATCACTGAGGTAAGCAAGCCAATTCATTTGCAAGAAGCCGGGGGGGGGGGGGCTTTAGGGACTACTTTAAGTGTTATTAAATGACAGATCCTCAGCCATCCTAGGCTCCATAAACCTGCAGCTGCTATTCCTAATCTTGTAAAAATCTAGATCCCTTCCTTTCTTCCTTATCTGCCAGCAATGGAGAGAGATCAGGTCTAAGTTAGGCCACTCTGAGGCATAAAGGTAAAGGTTTCCCTTGCTCGAAAGCCAGTCGAATCCGACTCTAGGGATGTGGTGCTCATCTCCGTTTCCAGTGCTGTCCAAAGACATTTCCGTGGTAATGTGGCTGGCATGACTAGATGCCAAGGTGCATGGAACGCTGTTACCTTCCCACCGAAGTGGTACCTATTTATCTACTTGCAATTTCTTGTTTTTGAACTGCTAGGTTGGCAGGAGCTGGGACCAGAGATGGCAACTCACTCTGTCTTGTGGCACTCAGGTCTCAAACTGCTGAACTACTGACCTTCCAGCCTGCAGTTCAGCGTCTCAACCACTTGAGCCACCACAGCCCCTCAGAGATGGGGCATACAGCAGTTAAAAAGTCTCTCCGTGGAGATAGGGCAAAAATGGGGGGGCCTCCTCCCATCAGAGAGATGAAAACTTTTGGCCCACTCCCACCCCTGGATGTGGAAGGGAGAAGAAAACCCATCCAAGGAGGTCCTCTGTCGCTGACAATAATACTTGATGCACAATCTTCTTATCACTTTTTTTTTGCCACCCCATCCCATTGGGTTTTCAAGGCAAGAGACATTCAGAGATGGTTTGCCATTGCCTGCCAGCGCATCACGACCCTGGCATTCCTTGGACATCTCCCATCCAAAGACTCACCAGGGCCAACCCTGTTTAGCTTCTGAGATCTGCTGACATCAAGGTAGCCTGGGCTACCCAGGTCAGGGCTCATATTACTTAGTGCCATCAAAGATAATGAGCAGTGCAGTGCTTTATGAGTCTTTAGAAGTCTAACACAAAAACAGTAGTGATCATCAAATTATGGTTAGGTGCCATCTCATGGATTGGGATGTCCTAGAAAATGTACTAAAATATTTACACCCTGAAACTGAGTCTTTTGGTTGGTTGTCATAGCTATGTGAACTGTTTGGACAGAATTATTAGCTGCAAAGGAAAACAGGACTATGATACCTTTAACAGTTGCATTTTAAAAAGATTTAAGTAGATGCAGTTTATTCAGCCTTGCCTGGCAAGCTGTGATTGCCAAAATTTCCCCTTTAATGAAAACACTAAAGATACAGCAGCTTGTTTCTCCTTTGCATCTGACCATCCCTTGACAGTGTTTGACTTGAACAGTTTGGATATAGCCTTTGTTTTCTTCCATGGAAGTCAACTGTTGCAAAATTTGTGTGGACATTGGAAAATTGAGGAAGATATTGGAAGAAAAGGACCAGATTCTGTGTCTTAGCTTCAGCCTCCAGAGGGGGGTTACAAGATAGGCAAACTGCTTTACTCTTCTGCCTCTGTCTCGTTGAGGTGTACACTGATAGTTCTCAGGGAAATTGCCTTCCTTCCTTCTGTTCACACTTCTCTCTCTCTCTCTCTCTCTCTCACACACACACACACACACACACACACACACACACACACACACACAAAGGAGAAGCATGTTGCCCTGTTTTTTTTAACAATGGATGCAAGGCATGCATCCCTGCATCCACACCCATCCTAGTCTATATATCTAATACCGAAGTCGCCCCCTGCGTGCGGATACTTATTTCCGCACATCGGGGGCACCTGGGGGGGAGGGAGATTTTTGTGCACACTTGGGGCAGTCCCCAGGTGTGCACAAAAATCTGAAAACTGTAAAAAAATATCGGGGGGATACTTAAATCCCCCCAAAAGTAAAAGAGCGTCCCCTGCGCATGCGCAGGGAATGCTCTTGGAACGGCTTCAGCCTCGCCACGGGGGCTGGAGTTTGTGGGCTGGAGGGGGTGCGCGCGTTCTTTCCCTCCCCCCTGGACCACCTTGGCTTTCTGCAG